AGGAAAAATTCATCTTCTACCAGTCCTTCATCACATTAAACGAAATTGAGTGAATTACTGATTTACTACTAGTCACGAGAACAATACTTAATTCGATAAATGCAATTAGTCTGTCTTTAGTAATAAAGGTAGAAAAAAAGTAAAATTTCTTTAGAATATTTTTAAAGGATAGAACCTGACACAAGATGTAAACGAGCATGCAAACATCTATCCAATATAATACAGTGGTATGAAGACCAAGAGAATGGGGACTTTTGTATGTTCGCTGTCTCCTTTCGTTATATAGAAGTTGTTTGATCTTGTCTTGGCAACTTTGTCATATTTGCAGGAAGACCTAGAAGAATGCACCTTGTCCGGAGTCCATAGTATGTCTGATAATTTCCAAAGTCTGGGAATGTAGCAAGTCCGTGTTTCGACTCTGGAAATTATCATACATACTATGGGCTCCGGACAAGGTGCGTTTCTCTATGTCTTCCTGCCAATTTAAATGTATGAAAACGAGGTCAAAAACTTCAATACAAAAACAATTTTCGTATGGATGTATGTAATATGACCGACAAAGTTATGGCCAGAACTCTAATATGATACCTCATATAAATACCAAACCAGTGTGGAGCAGCAGAAACATGCTGATCGGTGTAAGAATCGTTTTCGCATGAAATGAAAGTAATCCCAGTAACGAAATATCGTTAAAAAACGAGCTTCCACTTTAAGTCCTTTTGATCCAATTCATTGTTAGGCCCATTAGCGGCTGCCTTATAACATGATTCAATAATAATACGAATTTATACACCTTACTGGTACTTCGCCATATAAAGAGTATAGAGGTATCGTACGGCATCACACGAAACGACTGTATAGGGAATGTCCAGTTGGCCCAAACAAGAAATCGATGAAATTAGCAGAAAACGGGAACGAGAATTACATAATTGGTAGCCGAAGGTAACAATTATTACCGGAAAATAGAGGACATATCTCTCCTAGCTAGTAGAAATGCGAAAAGAATTCCATAAAAAAACTAACGATAGGATGTATGTGGGGAGATTTAGTAAAAGGGAAACAAATGTAATGCAATGCACACAAGAGTGTATCATTTAGCTATCTCATACGGTTCGTATAAAAGTATAGTGAGGTCGAATATAAATGAAAGACTGGAGCAGGTAGTCACGGGCAAAAGTTTATGAGGAATAAAAAGCACTTCGAAGTCAGTGCTCAGCCTATAGCGATAAGATAGCCGGCAACTAAAAAGCCGCTATAAGCTTCAGCCAGAAGAAGAGAAAAAGAATATAGTATAATCTGAAATTAAAATTGCTAAGCAAAATATGAATAGACAAAACGAATCAGAATAGTAAAAACTCACGATATTCATTGATAAATAAACAGTTATATACATAAAGACGAAGAATTTTCCATCTGAAGTAAAAAGGTATAACTTGCTTTTAGAGTTAACTGCGATCCTCAGGACTGTCGAGTGAGCAAGCAGATAATAAAGTCAGTATGATTCCGTGTAGGATTAACTATAATATCTTCCGCCATATATGATATCTGGAGTAAATGTTGCAAGCCCCTGAAAACAGGAGCCCCTAATTGGCGGATAAACTAGTAATGCTGACAGGTTCGATTCAGAGACAACATTTACTTCGTAGACTAAGGATATGAAAAGTACAGCATAATAGTTTACGTTGGCCATGTAATAAAAACAAACAAGATAGACTGTTAAAATGGCCAGTCTGTCACGTGCCAATGTGATAGGTCTTCTATTGCAAGCAAAAGAGGAATTCAAAAATAAGGCACCATAGATATTATGAGCCTAATTAAAGCTGCTAGCTCTTTTCCGCATCATAGCCCATGCCAGTGAAGAGGAAGTCGCTAGACAGATTGGACTGAGGCATGTGCATGAGTGGTTTGTACAAGCAGAGAAACAGCTGAGGTGGCGGCTGTAGAAACTTCATCGTCCTCTTCTTCGAGATGCCTGTATTCTGTTCCGCCCTGTTCTGCTCCGACATCTTCCTCAAAATGCCGTCGCCGTCGAGACGGACGGTGAAACAATTTTCGTATTCGGCTGGCCGGCTGACAAAAGCAGGCACTAAGGCAGGAGGCCACATAAGCTAGAATGACTGCGGGCTGGGACGAAGCACTATTGACAGACCCAGCCAGATACGTTCGCGAACGAGAATATCCCGATAAGGTTGACAGTGTAAGAAGTGGATATGAATAGACGGCGAGTCCAGTGAAGCAGGGAACTAAACTAAGCCCAATTGTCATTGCCGTGAACATACGCACAACCAGAAGGAAACGCTGCGTCTTAAAGGGAGTAATGGTAGGAAAAGAAGATTTATCTAATGCAAAGTAGATAGAAAATTCTACGTGAGCTTGTGAGTGTAATAGAGCCTGGTTAACGTGAGTGCGGACAGCACTAAGCGTTGTTATTAACACAGGGATAAAGTAAAGACATTTTTATAAAATTAATATATCAATAGTTGTGAGCCTAATACTGCAACAGTAGGGACGTATCCCTACTCATTCTCGCTATAATGGTTAGTTTTGTTACAATACGTATGCAACTATATCCCAACATCCAATAAATACAAAGGCGCACCTTTCATGGTCTTAATAAATCTGCCAAGAACACATATCTTATTTGAGCTATGAATTCACAAGTTTTTTTTACTAAAAAATATACTGTTCTCACATAAAGGCGAGTATTCACAGCAGCAGTCCTTAACAAGTTTCGTGTAGCAAAAAACGCTACTGCTAGGTGCATCATTGAATTGTGTTATTGGGAAGGGCTTGGAGTTAAGACTCACACTGTATATTCCTATTGAGAATACAGTGGATAAATACATTCAAAACCCAGTCTGTGTTATTCTAAAGCATGACCAATTAGAATCTCTCTTACCTGGGGGGCTACTACATCACATAAAGTACGTGAATGTGGCCTGGTTAAATTATGGACAAGGGAAACACAAAAGTGACTCATCCCTATTTTTGCCTTCATCTCCTTCATTGTATGTCTCCCATCACCATAATGGCTCGAAAGTTATGCCAAAAATTGCAGGCAGAATCATAACTATTCATTTTAGCACTAACTCTGAAATGCTACTTCATGGATAAATAAGAATATTCCGGAATCATTAGAACTCATCTAGATAAAAGTATACCATGCTAAAGAAGCAAAAGTTTTCTTCAGTCTGTTAAGGGCATGAATACTCCAAAAATCCTACCTTTACGAGAATTATAATTTTCATTTAAAATAAGACTGGTGTGTGGAAGACAGACGGCTAGATAGTCCAAGTTCAAAATTGCTTACATCTGATACACCCTCAATTAGCAGCAAGATCGTGCACGTAAAAAATCTTTTGTGAAGACGCGAAAATTGATTGAGCATGAAGGAACAGAAATAAAACTAATTTTAAACGACGCGGTAAGGCCTTCATGTATATACGGAAACACCCAAGCAAAATATCATTAACGCTTAAAGCAGAGGCACGAACTAATCATAAACAGTTCAAATAGTTCAGTTACACTCATATGCTCATCCGAAGGCCGTCAAAAAGGAAATATTGAAGAATTATGGACAAGTAAAATTTGTCATTAAGAGTTCCTTGCCTATGAGTCAAAACAAAATCAGCAAGCATATAGTTTTAAAAATGTCTAGTAAATTCGGACCAAAAACTCTAATATAGACAGCACTACTCCTCTACATACGAATAATGCCTAAGCATACTCATCTAGAATAATTATGTTAGATCAAGAGAGTAGGAATACAATTTGTATGTGTGTTTGATTAGTGTACAATGAAGTTGAATTTGGCGCTAACCTTTGATTAATGTAAAGTAGTGATTTCCAAACTAAGCCTAATTGTTAAATCGTTTGATTTAACGCGATCTCGCTTTAGACATTTGATCAGATTTTCAGAGACGTCAAAGAAAATGCAAAGTACCACATCCTCTGAATTTGGTGCCAAGTCATCTTTTAGCATCAGACTGATGACTGGCTACATTCTCACACATTTCGAAGGTATCCTAGTCGGCATGGTGAGTGATTAGTCAAGCTATAATTAAGCTAAATTGCAAATAAAGTTAATGCAACTGTCAATTTTCTGATAAACGGCTGGGTTCTTTATCCCTCCTCCCTAGCCTAGAACATTTCATATCATCTAGTCAGCACTTTGGAGTTATAAAACCCAATTCAGCAATAACGAAAGGTCTATGAAAACAACTAAGTTGCAATCATACCTTTACCTAATGGCCTTGTCGATCTTTCTTGACTAAATAGCTAACTGCCTCTACTCAATATCAGACACTATATATCTCATACTCGAGGAATGATTCATCTTATCTGGCCTGAAAGTGTAACAGTACGTGTAAGATAGTCTTTATCAAGGAGATCACCAAACCATGGTTTTTACAGTTATCGAATATATAATGATCTTGTTAAAGGTCAGGATTAAATAGTTACACCCTCCCTATCCTGCCACCTCATTGCAAGCCTAAGAATATTTATTTCTTGCAGTATAATTATTTTCAGGTTACTCTGTCCACTTATGTAACCGGTCATCAAATCCCCACTGTTTTGATGAGAGCCCTCTAGATCTCTACAGTTATCAAACTCTCTACAATTTCAGTTCGGTTATGTACACGGGGCGGAAGTGGAATTCAGGTACTCCTCACATGTGTAATA